TTTCTTGAATTCTTGCTCCTTTCTTGACTGATTGCTCCTTGCTTCTTGATTCAATCCCCAAGATTGAGTGATTGTGTGATRCCTAAAGCTGRTCYRCCCCCTCCTTTATATAGCTTAAAGGGGAGGGGGTGGTCTCCTACTTCCTCTTGAAGTTGATCTTTACAAGCATAGAAAGTCCTATCCTAATTCTAATATTCTCTTTTTATCTAATGAACTCAATTTCTTTATCTTTCTAAAATTACATCAAGAATTTAGATCTAGAAGGACTCTTCTCAGTTTCTTGTTCTTGGATTCGTATTAGACCTCCTCTGTGAATTGGGATTCAGCCAGGCTTTTCTACAAGTTGGGCTTCAGCTGCGGATTGGGCCTTCTTGCGAATTTGCCCTAACTTTGGGCCCGGATTTGACTTTGATGCAGGCCGAATCTGCGAAAGCCCAAAACATGAAAGTTGTGGCTTTTTCTCTTATCTTTCCAGTGGATCTTGAATCAGCCTTTCGGAGTTCGGATACGCGAATGGATTCTCCTGATGCGTTTCTTTCATGCCCTAAACAGAAATATGAGTCCAATGAGATGCTTATTTGGTATAAAAGACATAATAATTGGGGATAAAAATATGATAAATTCTACTCTCATCTATCAGCCCATTAAGGTCCATGAATTATCAAATAATACCAAGGTATATGGGCTAAACTGCAAAAAGCAGTTCAGCCCATATAGCAGTTATGTTGAAATTGGAGTGGTGTTGCTTTAACTTAAAAATTTGGTTTTTCAAGAGAGGGCCGAATTGTACCTTGTGATTGGCCATCAAACCCTTGGCCCGTAACTGAATTTGAGCCACGTGAAATGTGACCCATGGGGCTGAGATCAGACCTCATTGAACCATGGGTTCAGTCCAACCAGATCAATTCGGCCTAGGGTTTGGTGTCCAAAACATGCTATAATTCTCAAGATTTCGATCTGAAATTATTAATAGCTGAATATTGACAATAAGTTACAGCAAAAATACATAATTAAGGGCTGCAAGTGTGATGGTTCGAATCTGGTCCACACAAACTGCAAACCTGCAAGAAAACTGGTTAATCGCAGATTGCAGATTTTTCTGCAAAAATCTCATCTTCTCCTTCACATGCTCCAACATGTCTTCCAATGTAAAAAAATAGAAAACCCTAATTTTCAATTAATTACATCAGAATAAATCCTAATACATTTTCTCTAAAAATAAAAGAAAAAATTATTTATAGACCAATGATTAAATAAATAAATAGCAAGGTGTGCAAATCTTAGCGCCAATAAAGAATTCGACCTCCACCACACCAACAACCCAAAATTCAAGAAATAATAATAGAACATTTATGAAATTATTGCAGAATAAAATAAAATTAATTTCAGATCAAATCACCCAAAAACAGAGAACTGATTTCTCAGTATACTACAAATTGCGCATATCGAGGGCAAATTTTCAAAAATTTCTTTATTTACCCATCTAGGAATTGCATTCTTAATTTTAGAAAGACTGCATTTTTCAAGGATCGTTCTTGCGTCGAACCGGACTAGAGCTTGGATCAAGCAAGGGATGTGAGCATGAATTATATCTGATGTTTTCTTGCAAATATCAGATATTAGAACTGATCACTATCAATCCAAGAACTGGAGGTCGAACTATGGTTTGGGTGGCAAGAGTAGAAGGAGAGAACAGAGAGCAGAAGTGCGTTTGGATCAAGTGAGCACGAATTATATCTGATGTTTTCTTGCAAAAATTAGATATCAGAATTGATCTCTATCAGTCCAAGAACTGGAGGTTGAACTAAGGTTTGGGTGGCAAGAATAGAAGGAGAGAACAGAGAGTAGAAGTGTGTTTGGAGCAGTTCACCTCCTCCTTTTATAAGCCTTAAAGATCAGCACTCCTAATCCAATTAGGAGGAGTCTTTAATCCAAATCTTTATTTGGATTTGGACTCTTTAAGTAGATAAGAGTTCTCCTCTTATACTAATAGCTGACCTAAACCCATATCCATACCCATATTTTCCCAAGTCGCATGATTTCTTAAGCTGTCATGTGACATCCAAATTAATCCAATTAATCATGGGCCTTAGGCCCATTAAGCAAGTGGCTCACGTCCCCTTTTAGTTGCTGGCCAATTTGGCTCTTTGTATGGCATGGGACAACAACAATGACCTCACATAAGCCCTTATGGGTTTGGCCCAGCTTCTGTGAAAGAGTCTGGCCAAATTCACTACTAAGCAAAGTGAACCCCTAAGTCCATTAGTATGGGCTCTTAATGGGCCCAACATTTACACTAAATGGTCCTTGAGTCCAGTCATCCTATGAAGGCCCAAGGACAATGGACTTAAGTGGGATATAGCCCATTAGGTAAAATAGCCCTAAATGGTCTCTTACACTTAACCTCTCAGCCCTTAATGATCAATCACTACCTGACAAGGGAGGACCTCTCCCCTAGTTGCAAGGTGCAATGTTGCACTCTCTGCTCGGATGGATGTCGGGAATTAAAACCTTTTGCAAACCTTTTTCTTAAAACATAATATATATATATTATCATATAAATATATTTTGCAAAACAAATCTCAAAGAAATTTGAAATCTACTACCAACAGTTTTGGTTTCCATCAGAGAGAGTGCAATCCCGATCATTCACTTTGTCCGATAAAGGGGCTGATCATGTCACTATGATCACCCACTCGAGTGAATTCTCAGACTGCCCCAACATACCCATGT